CAGGAGCTTAAGGCAAAATCTTTTGATAGTGAGGGTGACAGAGCCCTGGCACAGGCTGCCCAGAGAGGTTGTGGAGTCTTCTTCTCTGGAGATCTTCAAAACCCTCTCGGACGCAGCCCTGTGCTCCTGTGTGAGCAGGGGGGTTGGACTAGATGACCTCTGAGGTCCCTTCCAACCTTAAGGATTCTGTGATTCTTTGATTCTAAACCAAATGTGACTTTCTTTACTAGGAAACTAGAGGGAGGGAAAAGAAGCGAGGCTTCCCTGCTACTAATGCCCGGTGTCTCCTTGCAGCTGTCCCGTGCGTGGTGGGTGAGTGGAGTCACTGGAGCGGCTGTGCGGAGCACTGCAAGCCCGGCCTGCGCCTGCGCCGGCGCCGCGCGCAGCAGGAGCCCCGCAACGGCGGCGAGCCCTGCCCGCCGCTGCAGGAGAGCGCCGGCTGCCTCCGCTACCTGGATCTCCAGGGGAGGCACTGCGGGCACGAGCACGGTAGGCCCTCGAGCACCGTAGGCCCTCRAGCACTGCAGGCCCCTCGAGGACTGCAGGCCTCAAGCACTGCAGGCCTTGATTTAAGCCCCTGTGCAAGTATCATATTATTTCTGTGCAGTTAGATGACAAATTCCTTGCAAGACAGAAAACACAGCTCTTGTAGGACTCCAGCACGTCCTGTTTCCTCMATCTCGACTGTGCTCGTTCCTCTGTTCCTTCCGAAGGAGGAGAGAACCCAGATGCAGGGAGCGGGGCTGAAGGGGATGTTCCAGTGCTGTATCAYTTTTCCAATGAAGCCAATTGGAATCACCTCATACAACCACAAAAGAAATTATTTTGCCAACTGTTACGGTGGTCGGAGTATGTCTGAGCTCAGCCTTGATGCCTTCCTCTGTTTCCTTCCTCAGTCCCTGCTTTCATCACTACCTCTGAATACAGTAAGGAGAGGAAGCAGCGAGCAGCATCTCCTCTCTGGTCTGCAGAAAAAGAAGTCGGGTAATCTACCATGTCCACACATGGTTCATCTCCTTCAAAAGAAAATACCTGGCCACASAAAAATAATAAAAAATGCAACAATTCAAAATAGGCTACAGCTTCTATTGTTTTGCKTTTTTGTAGGTCATTTGYATTTCTAGATTTTGTTTTTATTATTATTATTATCACTTAACTAAATTACTTAACTAATTAGGGCTAACTGCCCTGATTTAGGTACTTACTGGTGTTAYGGAAAATTTGAGGACAGCTGTTTTTTGAAAGCCAACAGTAAGTACAGTTAAACCAACGTTGAATCTATTTTTGTCAGATACAGATCTCTGAGCAAACAAAATTAGCTGAACGTGATCACTTCTAAGTGATCAAAGCATTTTTTGATGGACTCATTGACAAGAGTAGCAAAAAACCACARTTTTCTTACCAACATGGCTATGAAGTTTATATTAAGCTACTATTGACTCCGTAATGCTCAAAATGCTTTGCCCTRTGCTATTTTGTCCAGAATAATAAAATCAATAGGTATTCTTAAAAAGCTATTTTCCATTCCCTCTTTTTGGCTGTCACAGAGGGGAAAAGAGCAGTAAGAGTTGTGCTTTGCAACATAATTTGAGAAGGGAGAACACAGTGAGATACAAAGCACTGGACTTGTCTGTGGAAAGAGCAATAGTTTGCTTAATGTTTTAAGAAATTATTAACTGCGTAGGAGTCAGAATCAGACTTGATAAAATGAACAGGTCTGACTTGCGCTTCACAAATGTCACCTATGTGATCAGTTCAGTTTAAGTGTAAATTGAGCCTCTGCTTTAACTGCTATGACTAACGTAATACTTAGGCGCCAACGAAGCCTTTCATGCTTCCGAGCAGATACTGCGTGGAGTTTCGGACAGAGTCGCTTTCGCAGCACTGCGCTTTGGAGAGCCGGCCGTACGCCCGGTGGATGCAGTACCTACGAGAAGGACACACCGTGTGTGTCACCTGCCAGCCCCCTGCCATGAACACCGACACCCAGCGCTGCTCTGGAGATGGCCACAACGCGGATGGGTAAAGACCGAAATCATTTTCCTGCTCTCTGTTCCACAGCACAACCCAACACAATTTAAGAATTCTCAAGATCACATTAAAAGTCAGATTTATTTTACCTAAAAAATGACACAATTCATATCACTTTCAGAGCGCAAAAGATGCAGCCTTTCAATTCCCCCCAAAGTTGCATTTGAGCGATTTTATTTCAAACCAAGATAAAACTGGGTCAGTGAACTTCAGTCGCAGAGTTTAGTGCCCCRGCAGTTTTAGTGAGCATTGTGCCCTGTGCTCTGGGTGTCCCTGCTGGAGCAGCACGTTGGACTAGATGATCTCTTGAGTTCCCTTCCAACCTCWGCCGTTCTGTGCTGCAGCTTCCCTAGGCCTAGAGGGCTTTAAACAGTCACAGACACCGTTGCCTGACAGGCAGACTTCCTGCCCTGGCCCAAACTATCTCAGGTTTAATAGTGTCACATACCAACCAGACACCGTCCCCTCACATCTATAAACACCCTTTCTAGAACAGTAATTTTGAAATAACACATTTAATATGTAGAAGAAATTTTATTTAGTCCACACATCTCAAAGTGCATGCTACCTAACATGGATAATGCCCATCACCCTGGGTGCTAATGGAAACAGTTTCTGCTCCAGAGAACTTACAGGTAAAAAACACAGTGAAAGAATTCTAAAAGTTAGTCAGGCTAATGAAGGTTTTGCTTTAGGCAAAGCTAAGCTTCTGTCGCATGAATTGTCATAGAGAATAACTTAGTTACACAAAACTTAGAGTCTTCRGCATTTATAAACTCACTCCTGCTTGTTTATTTTTCAGAGGCAAAATCTTGCACTGGGAAGCAGTCGGCAACCCTCGCTGCCAAGGAACCTGGAAGAAAGTTCGGCAACTGGAGGAGTGTTCATGTCCCCCCGTGCATAGCTTTATTTTTACGTAAAAGTTCCAAAGACCTTTCAACGGCAACAATAAAAAAAATAAGAAAATTAACACTAATRCCATGAAATGTGCACCTCTGTACTGTATTTGCTGGGAGCCTAATTTAATTGTAAAGGAGGCAATACTTTGGAAGCAGTTTAAGATTGATCTTTGTACCCATAGAAGGCTATAAGCCTGTTTCCATGTTTCTCTTTTGTAATTAAAGAGCTAATATTCCTAACCCCAGTGGCTTTGGTTCCTAAAGCTGCTCTTCTCTATGGGCCATAGTCCCATTTACAGGCACTGATCCTACCCAGCAGTGGGCAAGGCAAAGATTTGAGCCTATTTGAGAATAGTTACTCATCGTCACATCAATCAGCAATAGTTACCGTCATCATTACATACCAAGAGTGAACAAGCATAAAAGTTTGAGAGCTAAAACTGGACTTCAGTTTACATCCTTTGCTCCTTCTCATAGTTACCTAGACAGTTATTTATGCTACTTCTTACAAGTGCGTAAATATTTTTGTCTACATAGTCAGTTCCAGATTCTATCACCCTCATAAAACAGAAATTAATCAACATTAGTGATAGGAAGACTAATTCCCTACTACACTGAATTTTATGGCAGGCAAACCTAAGCAACATTTTTGCAAATAAACTAGGTCCTGAAAAGCCTTGTTTTTCTTAATGAGTGGTGATATAAGTTGAGCTGTCTTCCCTAGGAAGTTCTCTCTCTCCAAATAAAAGAAGGTTGTGTCTAGCAGGAGGTTAACTAAGGTCTTGGTTAACATTTCGGAAACAATCACTTATTCCCATGTAAACCTGCTCCCCAAGATTGATTAAAAAGGAAACCTCSTTTGACTTTGTACTGCTTGTTCTTCCAGCTAAGAAGGCTGCAAACTGCAGACCACTGCAGACTTGCTCCCCTGTTACACTGGAGATACCAGATTCCTCTGCAGGGAAGATGCACAGCATCTCTGCAGAACCTAAAAGCAGCTGGTTTGGCTTCATTTCTAACACTTGCAGTAGAAAACAAACAAAACCCCTTTTTTTGGAGGCAAGGGTGAGGAACAGAGTCTTGCCAAGGTCCTGTCCACAATGAGAAACAAACCTCTGTAACTGTACTTGACCATTTAACCTCAAACACAAGCAGATTTCCAAGACAGAAAGGAGTACGAGTCACCCTTGTATCTTCTGAACACTCCAACCTTCAAGAATATCTTTCATTTGGAGACAGGAAAAAAAAAATCATTGCAGAGAAAGGTATATTTTATTACTAGTCTAGACAGACACTTCCCCTTGAAAGRTTCTTATAAAATAAAAATAAATAGCTTATCCAAGGACAGAAGTACATAAAAAAACCCTTGAAGATATTCAACTCCAGGAAGAATGCAATAGCCAACATGCAGGTTCAACCTAGTAGATCCAGTTTAGTGCTACAGAGCAGACAACCATGGAATCTTCTTCCCTATTGCCTAAGGCAAAAGAAACKGCGCGGCACCTTCCAGCTCCTGTTGCAGCCTCTTGTGAGCAGGRGATTCACAGTGACCAAGTAACACCTTGATGATGCAGTTCCCCTCCTCAGAGGAGGGCTCTCCTTGTTAGTGCTGTAGTTGCAGACACTGGGAAGCAGGGATGAAACATGGCTCAGTTTGGGCCTGCAGCGCACAACCAGACAAGCTATTGAGCCCCGCTTTAGGCAAAAAAAAAAAAAACCCAAAACCTCAGGCTTCCTCTTTTCTAGAAGAAATCCACTTTCAGACAAGGCAGGTAAGACAAGGTAAGAAGATCTAAGAGCTACTATCACACTCTTCCCATTTCTTCATGTCTTCTTCAAAATGCACTGTTATTTTAACTCCACAGAGACTTTTTTTTTGTAATTTTTTAAGTCACCAGCATAATGTTGAAATTATTCTGAAGAGTTAGGCTTGTCCTCAGGTAGAAAAGGCCCAGAACAGTTAAAACTTATTCTTGCAGTCCAAATTAGATCTGGTCAGCCCTGTTGAGTGTTCTCCATCGGTCTTTTAACATGACACCAGTTCGGTTGTTGAAGTCACCATGGACCAAAATTTTAGCCCAGTTGCCCACTCCAAACTCTCTTACTCCAGATATCAGCTCCATGTCTTCTTCGTACGTCCATCGCTTTGGGTRGGTGAAAGAAAAAACACAGAAGGGATAAAGAATTTAAGAGTTCACCTTACAAAAAGTACAGAAGTATCTATAAAGCTATGTCGTTATTGTACCGAGCACATCTTTTAGGTGTCAGGAGGCTGATTTTGATTGTCTCAATCATAACTTGACACTGAATACAACAAATATTACACGCTTGAGTGTTTTAAACACAGTAGCAGACTTCAAACAAAAAAACAAATGCTTCAAATTCGATATATTTCAGGAAAAATGGAAAACAYGGGGAAAAAATTCACTTCAATTAAAATGTTTTCCAAAATGTTGCTTTATCGGCCAGCTGAGCCAACATAAACCTTGACAAAGCACARTAGGCAATATGGGAGATCTAGCAATTTAAAAGGCAATTTAAAGGAGATATTGGGAAGATTAGTATCACCAGAAAATAACTACATACTTTGTAGCACTTTGCTGAGCACACTGCAGTCTCACTGCCATGACCTAGAACTTTGTTCATCTTCAAGGGGTGCCATTTCTCCCTTTTTTAAGGAGTCATTTATTTGGTTTATAACCTGCAAGCAACTCTTCTTCTACCAATAGTCTCTAGTGCATCAATTCTCCCTTGGTAGGTTCTCAATACTAATAKCAATGATTATCCCTTGGTTTTAGGTCTGAATACAGTAAAAGAGTATTGGAATTTAATAATTTTTAATATTTTCCTAAATTCACCTTTARAGTAAATTATGGGTACCAACTTTGTTCTAGTGTAGCTTTATGAAAATACGTAATAACAGATTCTACATCCTAGATATGGTATATATCCTATATGATATATATCTTTATCCTAGATATCA